CCCAGCACTCAAGGGTCAGGGATTCTTTTTCTTGTAACTTGTAAGATGCCTCAGCTCATTCAATCCCTGGAATATTTCCCTCCACAGTATGGAGATTCAGAAGAAGAAGTAGCTGAGAACATGAAGAACCTACTTTGTTTTCAGAGTTTTGTTTTGTTTTGTTTTGTTTTTTTAAAAGATTTATTTATTTATTTATTTATTATACAGTGTTCTGTATGCACACACCCCTGCAGGCCAGAAGAGGGCGCCAGATCTCACTACAGATGGTTGTGAGCCACCATGTGGTTGCTGGGAATTGAACTCAGGACCTTTGGAAGAACAAGCAGTGCTCTTAACCTCTGAGCCATCTCTCCAGCCCCCTCATTTTCAGAGTTTTATTGCTGCCTTGTTTTTACACAAGGCCGCCCCACAGTGAAAGAACACAAGGCATATTTCAGCCTACACTAGGTAGGCCCTTGCATCAAATGTCTCTGGTTCTGCCCTCTTTGGGCTCAGCTGCTCCTTATACTCCAGAGCACACATACTACTTATACTGTCTTCTTGCCTGCTGACTTTTTCTACTAAGCTCCATCCTGTCAGCCAGCCAAGAGAGATTAGTAAAAGAAAACAAGGTACATCCAAAAGCACAGGCCTATAATTCTAGGACTCAGAAGGCTGCAGTAGGATAGCAACTTTGAAGTCAAGCTGGACTACACAAAAAGACTCTCAAAAACCACAGACAACGAAAGCATACCCTCTTCTTTGAACAGGTCATATGGACTACAAGACACTGAGTTTGATGACTCCATTTCACTGTTCATCTGTTCCCTACATCCTCACATTGCATCAGCCCCTTATCTACACCAGGCATAGCCTGGCCATCATAGTTTTGTCCCCATACAACAGAGATGAGGGCCTCTCTACACTGTCCTCACCTACCCTCTAAACAGCAGCTCACACAAGAACTTAGTAGTCAGGGTTCCCCCTTCCTTAGCTGTGACTCTAGATAATACACCCACCAATTTTGCCGTAAACACTATGTGTATGCTGATGACTCCCCAAAATACATGTCTAATTTCTACCTCTTTGTGGAATTCCAAAGTCATTTATACAAACATCTTTATTTTCATTATTTTTACAACATTTTTGAGGGAAAGCTAACATATAATAAACTATGTATACTAAAAGTACAAAGTGATGAGTCCTGAAAGTTGCATGCAATTAGCAACAATCCCACAAAATCTAATAAACATATGCACCTCTCCTACTCCCACCTTAAGTAACCACTGGTCTACCTTTTGACACTATTAATGATTTTGCATTTATAGATTGTTAAACAAATCAAATCACAGAGTATTCTTTTTGTCTATCTTCTTTCCTAATTATTATGAGATTTATCTTGTGGTACACATAAGTCATTTTCTTTTTTTTTTTTACTGGTGAATTGTATTCCATTGAATGGACATACCAAAATAGGTTCATTCCTTCATAATGATGCATATTTGTTTCCATTTTGTAGTTAAATCTGAACATTTGTGTATAAAACTTTATTCATTTGTAAGACTTAATGTGGCAATAATTTCATTTCACTAAGGTAAACAACCAAGAATGCAATGGCTGGATCATATATGAGTCATATGCTCAACTTTTTAAGAAACTATCAAACTCCTTTCCAAAGTGATTGTCCATTTTTCCCCCATCAACAGTACTATTAAACAATACCCACACCAACACATGGTCAATCTTTTTAACTTTAGCTATTCTAATGGATCTGTAGTATCTTATGATTTTACTTCGTATTTCCTTAATGACTAATGTTGAATATCTTTTCCCATATTTGCCATATCTTTACTAAAACTGTTCAAATTTTAGTGCATTTTGTAACTGGGCTATTATTGAATTAATTTCTTTATATTTTAAATAAAAGCCCATAGTCAGATGTCTTTTGCATACTTTTCCCTTATCTGTGACCCATCTTTTTATTTTCAAAACAGTAGCTATTGAAGAGCAAAGGGTATGATTTTGATAAAATCAAATGTATTGACTTTTTTCTTATACATTTTAATTTCTTTGGTTATACTTAAGAAATATTGGGGCCAAGCAGAAGTGGCGCATGCCTTTAATCCCAGCACTCAGGAGGCAGAGCCAGGAAGATCTCTGTGAGTTCGTGGCCAGCCTGGTCTACAGAGTGAGTTCCAGGACAGGTACCAAAACTACATGGAGAAACCCTGTCTCAATATATATATATATATATATATATATATATATATATATATATATATATATATAATTTAAAAAAAAGAAATATTAGACAAATCTGATGTCTAAAATCTGGAAATCTAAATATTTTTTACTTAGTTTTCTTATAGAAAATTGGCATTTTTACACAAACACTGGGATCTGATTCACTTCAAGCCACTGTTTCCTTCTATTTGCTGGTCCCTCTTTTGGCTATGGTTCAAACTGAACCTAGAGCCAACTACAGATACACTCCTTACAGCTGAGCTCCTTCCTTAGCCCTTGGTGTTCTCATTTCCATCCTGTGACAGGCTGGCCTTGAACTCACTATGTAGTCCAGTCAGGCCTCCAACCTCCAATACTCCTGCCTCAGCTTCCCAAAGCACCGCTGCGCCTATTCTAATCCCTGTATATACTAAGGGGCAAAGTTAATTTATTTGTATATATCTATAAAACTAGCACAGAACATTTGTTGGAAAAAAGATCCCTTTCCCATTGAGTTACCTTAGCAATACCTAGAGAAATGGCCAAACAGTGTGAGTCTATTTCTGGGTTCTCTAGTTTGTTCCACTTCTTTGCGTGTCCATCTTAATGCTACAAGCACACCTGCCTTGGTTACAGGAGTTTAGCAATGGTCTCTTTTGATGGTGCTGTGTCCTCCAGTTTTGTTCTTTGTTTGGCTCTTATAGATGTTCCACCCTTCTGCACAAATCTGAAAACTACCTATAAACTCTATAAAGAGGGTACAGTGCACTGGATCAGTCTGATCTTGATCTATTTGAGTAGAACTGGAATCTTAACAATATTGACTCTTTTATTTCATAAACATGATATTTCTAACCATTTACTGAGTTCTTAACTTCTCTCACTAAATGCTTTATAGTTTTAGTATACACTGCTTATATTTTTGGTCAAATTCCTCCCTAATAATGTCATATTTTTCTCCTAATTGTAAATGGCATTTTCAGAAATTTTTTAATTTCCTGCTTTTCATTGCCAGTATGTAGAAGAACAAATGATTTTTTTATATAAACCTTCTATTCTTCAACCTTGATAACTTACTTCTTCTAGTACCTTTTTCAATAGACTCATTAGGACTTTCTACATAGAAAATCATGTAGTAAGATAATAAAATATTCATTTCCTAGTTCCTTTTTGTACTGCCTTGAATCTCCAAAACAATGTAGGAAAGGCAGGCTTGGTGGCCGATGCCTACATCCCAGAACTCACTGTTCTAGTACTCAGGAGAATGGGCAGGAGGGTCCTGAGTTCAGTGCTAGTCTGGACTACACAGTGAGACTTTGCCCTACATAACTACAAGGCCTTCCTACTTCTTCCTCAATTCTGAGGCACAGATTTTCAGCAGTAAGAATGACACTGTTCTAACATCTTCTACATGTTCTCGGGTCATGACAGGACCACTATTCCTGGTTAGCTGCAAATTTTTATCACAAATAGTTGTGGAATTTTGTCAAATGTGTTTTCTATGTCTACTGACTGATACTTGATTGAAATACGGTGTCAAATTTAGTTTGAAATGATGAGCTACAGTGACTGCTTTCAAACATTAAGTCAACCTTGCAGTCTAGGACAGGTGCCACATACTCACGTTCTATTCTCATGCCCATGTCCTAGAGTCTTTGCTAATATTTTGTTAGACGCTTGCTCAGCTGTGCTCATCAGAGGTATTCATCTGTCGATCTCTTATGTTGTTTCCCACTCTGCTATTTCATAATGGTGGCCTCATAGAATGAAGGGAAAAGGGTCACTCCTTGTATAAGACAAGGACTATTTCTTCTTTAAATGTTTAGTGGTTTACTAGTGAGACCCTCTAGGGTATTGAAGTGTTTTTCAATAATATATCCATCCAAAAGGAAAATATTAATAAGATCAAGCAAAACATGCTCTTCCTCATTTCAGCTAATGACATTACACTCACTTTGCATAAACACAAGACTTAACATGTGTCTGTGGCTCCTCTCTTTTCCTTGTCCTGCTCCTCAAACCTGCCTCCAGTTCCTATCTGCTCTACCTTCACACGCCCACTTCTCTCCATACTCGCTCTCTGTAACACGAGACTTGTCCCCACTAGAGTCCAGTGTTCAAACAACAGCCAGAATGATTTCTCGTTTGATTTCTTCCACTTTTACATACTAACTGTAAAAGAAAAACAGTAGTTCTGTCCATGAAGTCTAAACTGTACTGACTTCAGGGATGCTACCTATTTTGCCAAACTCTTTCTTGCTCAGCTAGCTCTAGCAGCATGGGAATTTACAAAATCAGACCTCTAAATGCAGGCCTGTTGGTATATGCCTTTCATCTCAGCACTAAGTATGTATTGCAGTGTGTTTCGGTACAGACAGCAGAAACCAATAAAGAATAACAACATTTCTGTGGATTTGTTGTCCCAGCTCTCACAGCATAGGGTATAGGAAAGTAATGAATGATTTCAAGCTTAAGACCCTATAAGCATTTTTCTTATCCAAAAGACTATCAGAAATCCATGCAAGGATCTGACAAGGTATATGGACTGGAGAGGAAACAAGATGCTTCAAATCCCATTCAGTAGTATGATTCAGAAGCAACACTCAGTTTTACCTTGGGGCCCAAGGGGCCTGTAGCCCACCATACACACACACACACACACACACATACATACACACACACACACACACACAAACACACACATACACACACACACACACACACA